TTTCGAAGATGACTGATAGCCACACGAGTTGTCGCACCTGAATGCCACCGGTCTCTGGTTTCAACTCGACTATACTTCTATGCTGTAGCAATCGTACGTGCTTCCGATGTTACTGTAGTAATTACTCGCTCTCGTCATGCAGGTAATCCATGCACGAACTAACCGCACGTTTCCTGACCATCAATCACGACACACGGTCAAGAAGGCATTGATTCAAATGTACATAGCAATTGCTTCAACTTGGTCCAGCGTGGCTACGGCTGCTTGGAACTGTATAGTGCTAGTGCGGGGAAACAAGCTCATAAATAGACTGCTCCGGCCTGATGCATCCGTCAAAGCCATGACTCAGTGGCACGGCCTGCGTGGAGTCTGCAGAAACCCGAATCCCAATCAGCTTCTAGATTCCATCTCACGGAAGTCACCAGGACGCACGTGGAGCATTCAACTATCGTCTCTTATTGCAGCTATCGCCTGCGAGCATCGATGCAGCTAGAAAGCCTTCTCTCAGATGCTGGCTATGAAAGCACAGTAGCTCAGTAGCACGAGCCTTCTGGCAACCAGGAGCTTGAATAACAATGTCGGCACAAAAGCTGTGAGCCCTGTAGCTGCAAGAATTAAGCCGGGAGCGTTTAAGTGCTGCGTCGCTGCAGTACGTACTCCCTGGACGTCCTACAGCAGGCGCAGCGCAACGCCTTTTCTTTCAGATTCGCCCTTCTTCACTTGGTGTCCCTGAGATGAGCTGGCTGCCGGCCTGCAAGGACCTTTCGTCGTATTGCTGAGTGTATCTTACGTTAACTTTGCCAGGCTCAGGAACTAGCGCAGGGTCTCGGACTACGCTGCTTATGCACCAGCTTTCGGGCGCATCGCCTGTTCTTCAAGCGCAGCGACCTGTGTGATACAGCAACCAATGGCAATCCCATAGGGATGCTGGCATGGCTCCTACAGCTTCAAAATTCTGCGTCAGCGAGTTGTTGGCAGTACTTTTTATGCCTGTAACGGACGACGCACCGCGCACAGGAAAGTGGAGTCTGGGCACAAAGTACCTGGCCTCTGGCGAGCATTGAAGAAAAGCCTGGACCGATAGTCCTCCCCGGGAGGAACCTGGCACCGGATGCCCTCCCTTCGGGCCCTTCCCTTCGGTCCAGAGTCAGAGCTGTTCTGCTTCTTTCTCTTTTTTTCTGGGCCAATTTCTGGCGGAGCCTTCACGCTTAATTCAAGTGCCGATCGGCTGCAGTGCCGGCCTTGGACATGAATGTCGGAGTTCTCTGGATGTGTCGAGATTTAGTAGTCTCCCAATAGCCTTCCAGTCAAGAAGGATGCGATGCTGTGAGCAGCTTGGGACTTTGCAAGCGTGTGCTGACTTTCTTGGCCAGCTTTTAAATCGGAGTGGGACCCATAAAGGGTAGCAAAGCTCCCTACATATTTCTTGTTCGTGTTTTTTTGTATTTTGTCGATGGCCACAGCTGCTCGCAAAGTCTGCGGGCTAAGTTTCGTTTCTGTGCAGGCCTGACGGCCGAAGCTGCAAGCAGAAACTCGGTGCTGTGTTTCTGTTATTCTTTTCTGCGCACGCCCCATTGACGGAAGTTGACATCAGCCAACTTTTCCGTGCGCACCTGCTGGATGCAGTCACAGCTCGGTGCTCTGCTCGGATTTTCCAAAGAGTGTGCAAAATGAACATTCCGGGACAAAGGGCAGGGTCCGGGGCGGGCCCGGCGTGTAGCCAAGCTGCATGCACAACCTGCATCGACACCGCCGCACCAAGGGTTGCACGATTTTTTGACAGGTCAGAGGTTATCGGGTCTAGGTTATCAGGGATTAGTCTGGAACCCAGCCTTGCTTTCGGCACCAAGGTTTGCACAACTTTCATGATTCCGGCCAGCTTACTCCAAACAACAGCATGTCTATCGAACAACCCCAGGGCTCGCACCACGAACTCGGGGTTCGGCGGAGAAGCACGCCAGATCTCTTCAAGCCTCGTATAAGGTTTTCACAGGCCATGTCCTGGAATCCACACAACCCAGGCCTGTCAATTTCAATGTACATGACATTGTCGACCTCCCCTTTGGCAAGCGACAAGCTCCTTGGCGTGTGGCACAACGCAGCAGGACCTTCGAAAAGGGGTGAGTTTCAACTCTACAAGCATGCAACAGGTGGAGGCGCCTGTCTTGGGAGGTCTCTACGCCAAGGCGCTTCCTGCTTAGGGTCCCATGAGGGCCTCGTTTGTCCTAAACTCCCATGTGAAGCACAGGTACTCCATTAATTGAACTGTTTCGCAATACAGGCACAGCCTGATGCAGACTGCGAAGTCAGGGTCGGACACCTCCGAAACGCTGGCATGTCCAAGCAAGCTAAGTCCCTGCAGAACTCCCCCGAAGCGAGCCAGTGGTCCGTCTGAACATTGGAACAATGATGAACAAAGCTGCAGAGACAAAACAAATACTGCTTAGGTCTCAACGGGACACCAAGCAGATCTTCTGCAGGATTCGCAAGTTCAACAGTTGCAGGGAAGTTGTGGCTGAGTTCGGGAATCCTTTCAAATCAAGGCGCCCGATGTCAGGCACATCCGGGCAGCTTCCCTGAGGCAAAATCACGCGCCAGGCGAGTGCAAAGTGCTTTCCGGAAGGCTCGGTTCAGCGAAGCCGCCTCGTTCGGAACTCTGAACCTAGGCTCACCAAGGAGGGAAGGAGGCAGCACAACGTGAAGCCTTCCCAACTGCCGTGTATTATGTCAGACCTCCGTGCCAAGAAACAAATAAACATCCACAACCTGCTTTAGAAAGCATCCTCCGCCGGTGTCCATTTCAACCAACGCCTTTCAGGAATTGGACAACTCTGTCTCTTGGGGCTCTCAAGGCTTCTGTGCAGCTCAGGGTTCAGGATCAGGGTACGGTGTGCACCTTGTATTGTGTGTGGTTGTGGTTGTGGTTGTGGTTGTGTGTGTGTGTGTCTGTGCATCGGTATTAGTACTTGTGTGCACGTATGTATGTATGTGTATATATATATATACACACATATACATATATATAATACACACACAAAGACACATGCATGCAAAAATGTGTTTGTGCGAGCATATGTTTACAACTATGTGTATATAACGGTATGAAATTAGCAAAACTTAATGGAGTGTAGTGTGATAAAATGTCATGTAATAGAGCAGATGATACGAATATGATCTGGTATGATATATCAGATGATATAATGTAATCGAAAGTCAACATAAAAATACATATACATCTGAATGTATATGTGAGCATAATGTAAATTAAACAAATATAATGCAATATAAATATAATACAATATGTTATATAAAGAATATGATATAGTGTACATATAAATACAAAATATATAATACAACATGGCATAATAGAATTTAGAAGTGTTAGAATATGACATAATACAAAATAACATAGATAACATAGTACCATAAGTACGTGCAGTTGTGTGCATGTTCATGTCAGCATGATGTGTGAACATGAAATATGAAGCCGAGTCGTTGTCACAGGAAGAGGAGAGCGAGAAGGAGCTCTACATGCCGCGAGAACCTTTTCACAGAGTTGGAGATTCTCTTCAGGTCGAGTAGGGGTGAGTAGGGGTATGGGGGTTTATGTGGCCTTGGGGGTGGTCTGCAGCCGCTGAGCCGAGTTCTAGGCACGGAATAAGAGTTTAAGTTTCGGGCTTAGGGTTAGAAGGTCAGTCGTGCACTCCGTGAAGTCCGCCCATGCCATGGAGCCTGACTTTGTGACTAATGTTCAACATGGTTCCCTGCCAAAGTGCCCGAAGCCAGGGTTCTGGTTGAGGAGGTCCAGCTTGGGTACGTTGTCCTGTCGTCATTGTTCGGTTGTTGTTTACCTTCCCTGCCGCCTCGGAGAGCAAGGAAGAACGACATTGGCATTTTTCTGTGTTCTTTGGCGCTGCCTCACAGGAAAGCAAATACTAGAGTCGCTTCAAATTCACGGACCTTCGCCACCATTGGAGCTGTGAAAGGCGCCTGAATTTCTGAGGCCGGGCACAAGCGGGCATGCCCGCACCTGAAGATATGTCCAAACTGAAGCCCAAAAGCCAACTGAAGCCCTATACGGCTATAAGGCCCGAAGCAACCTTACCCTTGAACTGCTGGAGCCCAGTCCTCCCAACCCGAATCTTTGCCTCGAGTGCTAACCTGAACCCGAATCTTTGCCTCGAGTGCTAACCTGGGCTCCAGGGAGAAAAATCCTCATAAACCAGATCAAGAAGTTAAATCCGAAAGGCCCGCAGGCCCAAGCCCCGTACCAATCCCATGTTCAACTCAGAGTCCAAGGATTACAAGCCGCCCACCAAATCGACGGTACGCTTTGGCCGAATGGGGGCGAACTGGGGCTCTCAGGCAGCAGTATGCAGCAATGAGGCCTACATATTTCGGTGCGGGATTTAGGGACAGTGGCACCTTGAAGTTCATGCCTTCTGGGCTTGGCGTGCTGGGCTTCAGGTGTGCTCGTGGGTTTAGGCTCATAGGGCGGGTGCTTGCCAGTAAGAAAACCTCGGACACCTAAGCCTAGTCAGGCACTGTAGCCCAAGAGATGACTCTATCAAGCACAAATCATCAAAATCCTGGACGCTCAAAATAATGAGCCTCCAACTTGTCGTACCCGAGACGCCCAAAACACAGTGCTCGGTAATTGGACAGTGAGCGTCCAGTCTACTCGTTGAGGCCTCTACATAGTGAAGTTTCGACCCGTGTTGCAAACGTCCCCTCACATTTGCTATTTGAGGTAGTCGAGGTTTCGGATTTAAACTCACAGGCGTATGATCTACATGGTTTAGCGTGTGGGGTGCACGATTCTTTATTGGGACTCAAGTTCTGTAGGGTATGGATTTAGAGTCAAGGTTTCCAGCGACTGTGCCAAACCTGAAGTAATTAAGGTTGGAGGCCCAAAGGCTTCTAGTGACGCAAAACAGACTGGCGCCCGCCCTGAATCCTTGAACAATTCAAGCCCTGTTACCGCAATCTCAAAGCTGAAGGTCAGTACCGGGCCAAGATCATCGTGGAATCACGAGTTGGCAAGGAACCCCAAGCTCGAGCCCTCCTAACGCTGTTCATGGGCCCTGCACCCTCAATGCGAAGCCCTTGACTTGAATTCTAAGTCGACATCCCAAAGCACTGAGAGCCCAACCACAGCAGATTTCTTCGGTCGCAGGGTGCACATGACATGCTTCGAAAGGGCGCATCAGGTGATGCATTCCCCTTTCCCTATGCTCGAATGTGCAGATGCATGTGTTCAGGGAGTGTTTGTTGTGAGCTAGGCCCTGGCAGACAGGTCGCTAGATCGGTCGGCCGATGCACATATGTGGGTGTACATGCGTCCGCACACTTTGTATGTCTACTCACAATGTCACAAAGCATTTACGCATGCACACTTGCATACACATAATTCCCGAAGAGTGTGTGTGTGTGATTACACAGGTATTGGTTCGGCATGCACACAAGATTTATGCCTGCCTGCTGCCAGCCTTCCTGCCAGCCTGCCTCTGTCGGCCTGTCTGCATGCGGTATAAGCATGTATGCACGTATGCCTACAGCTGTACGTCAGCAGGAGGTCATCCGAAGACAGTTCGATGGCATCCGCGCGCACCGACGGGAGGCCGCATCGTGCCAGGTAGGAGTTGAGGCTTCAGGGTTTGTAGAGCAAGGTCCCGAGAATCTAAGCGGTAAGTGTACCGACCTAGAAGACGACAGGATCGAGCGTTTAAGTTCAGAGGTTAGTATTTAGAAGGTGCCTCCGGGCATAACTTCATAAATGGCTTTGCCCCTCCCCCCAACAGCCCCCCTCCCCAAAATTCCTCGTGTCTCTCGATGGTGTTTCGTGGACCCGCCAAGCCCTGGATCTAACTCGAGTGTCATGCGCTGCCTTTCTGTTGCGCCCGAGCAAGCAGAAAGCAAGCGATTGCTGACGGCACAGCATTTTCCATGACTGCCACGACAAAGCAGCGATCTGCCCCTATAGCAGGCCCGCAACCGGCCAGGTCCCTTATTAGAGCCTACTAGCACCTATTAGCGCCTATCAGTGAAGGGGGGGGCTCCCGCTTCAAGGCCCCGCGCAGCCTGGATTTTAAACATCCGTGTGGAGCTATGAAGTTTTTGCGGCTTTGCGGTTCCAGGCCGCTGCTGTTTAGGCTACCTCTGTCGGCCCAATTTCACGCTGCCCAGATCTTTGACCCCAAACCCACTCGAGCGGGCCTGGGCTCAGTGTTTCCGCACAGGCTGTGACTCTAACATTCGGCAGGGCCAACCCGTCCAGCACCACGCAATCCAAAATCCGAGCCGAATAGTGCCTATTGGCAGGGTAGCCTGCTGTCCAACACCAGCAGCCCAAAATCCGAGCCAATAGAGCCTATTCGCGGCCAGCCTGCCTTTTCTATTAGCGTGTAGCAGTTCTTAATGGCTGCTTCTAATTCTAGTGTTCGCTACCAGCGAGGTTTCTGTTCTGCAACTGTCTGTTCCGTAAATCCATGCATTACAGTGAAGCAGTCCTCCAAGGCCAAAACCCGAGCCCGTAACTTTGAATACCACCGCCCCTCCCGCCCATCCCCGAAACCCTGAGAACCTCGCCTTGGCCGCAGAACTCTAACCCCAGGTGCCACCTGGCATGGCCCAAAAGTTGGCCAAGGCTCGCGGGCTGTAGTCGATCCGGTTCGAGGGTTGAGGCTTTCAAGTTGTAGGACTAGGCTTCAGGAATCTTGGGTTTTTGTGTGTTTAAGGAGCCTGAACCTACGTTTGCCAACCCGGTCTTAGTGGCTGCCGCTTTACACAGGGGTTATGTTGTGGTTTTTGGTCGGGGCATTTAGTTCAGAGGTTCGTTGGTAATGTGGAGCTGAGTTGAATACTTGGGCCCATGGGCCGGGTTTCTAAGATTTGAACTCTTGGCTGTTCCTTCGATTGGAAGGCCTCAAGCAGCAAGCCCGAAACCCGACAATTCACTATTCTTATCAAGCTAGAAAGTCCCAAACAAAGGCATGCAAGGAGGGCTGCTGATTCAAGCTTCCCTTGGACTTCCCATCTCCATAACTCGACCTTCCTTGATTGGGATACCCCCTAGGATCAAACTAAGCGAGGTCTCAATACCCGGAACCTTAAAGCTTCCCCCGCAAATTCGAAGTCCAGGAGTTTTAATATTTCGCGTCCAGACCTCGGAGCCTCGAAAAGGAAAACAAAATTGCAAGTACTGCACATCTGGCAAGCAGGTCTTCAACCCTAAGATGAGAGATCAGGTTTTCGGGTTCAGGATGAGAGGGTTTGAGTTTGAGCAGACGATTGCCTGAGCCCCTCCGGCCAAGCATCCGCTGTTGGCGAGGTGTCCGGCGTTCACACCATCGAGCCCCCTGTCTGTCAGACTTGCAAGCTGGAGATAAAACACAATGTCGGTGTCCATGGCAGCATGCTCGGGACTCGGGGCTTTGAACTTGGGTTCAACTCAAAAAAGCAGTCTGACCCCTTAACCTTGATTGGCAGACCGGCAGGGCCAAGGAGGTCAAGTCTCTAGAAACGCACGAAGACACAGACAGAGGGAGAGCATCGCGACTTCGGTGTAGTGTGCGAAAGATGACATCGACCAACGTGCCTTGAGTTTAGTGTGTGTCTGTGTGTGCTTTTCATCTCTCGACAGCTGCGGTCCCTTTTTCATGTAGTTCTTGTCGTCAATGCCACGGAGCAGGTGCCATTTTCTGCAAGAGCCTAAAGCCTACCAATTACCCGAGCCGATTGCATGGCTTCCTCCCCGGGCGTCTTTACAAAATCCAAGGCCTCCAATGTCACCACAGTGCCCACATGAGAGCACACGGTCGTGCAAGCGTCCAGAAAGTAGGTGTTGCTGCTATGCGTGCGGCCATTGAGGTTTCGTTTTTGCATCGGCTTTGGGTTGAAGGCATTGTGACACATAAACCAAACTCTGTACTTTGGCGAGCTTGTCTCTTGAACCTCGAAACAAGCACTGCACTTCGCGCAGGGTGTGGATCATTATGCTTTGTAGCTGGCCTCAGCCCAACCTCACCGCAAACCTCGGGCTGCAATCCTTGGAATGAGGATCATCCAGTGCAAACTGCAAGAGGACCGGGGTGCAGGGTTTTGAAGAGAGGCAGCGCCAGGCTCGAACCAGCTTTAGCGTCGTACAAGTTGTTCGTTGTTTCTCGAGTTGTTGCTCAGGTTTCTGCTCGTTTCGCACGTGTGTTTGGAGAGTAGCTTAGACTTAGATGATCCTGTTGAGAACTGTGTCAGGATTGTGCTGAGCATTGGCATCCAGTGTTTGAAGATGCTGCATGATCAGTCTCGTCCGGAATCCTGAGCGCATGTCGAATGTTGGCTTCTAGGATGAGGGTCTTTGGTCACCCGCGCAACCCCAATCTGTAGCTGTCAATGTCTTCCTCAATCTTGCTAATTTGTAGTCCTTAGTACGCTGATGAACATGCTCGGTTTGCTCTGATTTCTCGGCAAATGATTTAATTAAAGCTCGTATTAAGAGGCTTGCTACGTCTCAAAGTCCTGGTACCCTTTGCAAATTAATCCTTTTCTTGCATTCTCTAGTCTAGTCCCATTCACACTCCCCTTCTGAAATGTGCGGGTGCCCTTTCGAACAGTCCGCTTCTCTTTCTCCAGCTCTACACTCCATTTCGAGTACTTGGCTTCCACGGTGCAATTCCATGCTCCTCTTTCTCAACCTGTCGCAGCAGGTTGCTGACTTGTCTTAGTTTCTGCAGTGGCTTTCCTGCGGTTTGTTCTCCGCATTTCTCCGCCCTTCAATTACTGTACTTCTCTACTCCTCAACCTTTTCGAATTCTCTACTCACTTTCTATATTTTGCTAGCTGCCTCAGCTTCTCTCGTCGCCGTTGGTTGCCTTTCTAAGTTCTCGAGTCTCATGTCGAACGGTTTGATCCCGTCTGTGAGATCCCTGGAGACTCTTTTCTGTTTACTGTAAGTTACTGGTTTGTGTCCCCTTTCTTGACTTCTCTAATTGGTCGAGCGGCTCGCTCCGTGTTTCAATTTATCTAGCTCCTTTGAACTGATTGGCTTCCTTCCCTTCAGTTGTCAAGTCTCTTTTGAACGGTTTGCCACCCCTGTCTCTACTTTCCAAGCTTTTCGAGGGTTTGCTGAAGTCCTTTCTCACATTAGGTCTTGTCCTTGTCGGCGACCCTTCTGTTCAATTCTACCCCCAATGCCTACAGAAGCATACTACGGTCCCTTGTGCCAGAGCCTCCCTGATATATTGTGCTTGTCAAAATTGTTGCCAGTGCCATATTGCCATATTGCTCCAAAAACCCGTTTGCTTCGGCTTCTGGGTTATGCATAACGGGTGCTCTCACAGGTGGCGTGTAGTGTTGCCACCTGAGTAGCAGAAAACTCTGAACCGGACACTTCCTGAAAAGGGACCGAACAGACCATACAGTCTAATGTCCGGATGGTTTTGTTTATCCCTAGGCCCTAGACTGACGTCGTGTGTTGCCGCATGTTTTGGTCCGATTGTTGGCGGTCCTTGCAGCACAGGACCCGTTGCAAACAAAATCGTAGAACACCGCATACTTGAACACCCAAACCCCTAGCCAAGCGAAGAGCCGCCCACCCAAAACCCTCAGGGAACAGAAGGCATGCAATCACCCCAAACAATAGGCTCTAAACTTATGTAGCCCCTAGTCCAAAAATCCTGCGCGCTTAAGCCTTAAACCCGTTCGAACTGACCAAGTAGGAGCCACCGCTCCACGAGCTCCATGGTGTGGTGGTACTGCGCTTGTGGCCCGACTATTTCACGGTTACTTGTAGGATGTATTTAGGGGTGTTTACTGTTCGTGGCGTTTCGAAGAATCAGGTTGTATTCTTGCATAGACTCTAGCATCCGGTTTGCGGTGGCCGAGGGTTTCAGGGTGCGGGGCTGAGGATTCGACTTTTGGGATCATGAGCCCTGCCTAGGGCTTAGGGTTGAGGCCTGAACGCTACGCCGCTAATTACGCTCCCAGCATGTCACGAAAGCATCCC